TCCGGGTAAGGAAACCAGGAAGCAAACCCAGGAATCTGTATCCATTGAAGCAACTCTCTCTCTTGAAAAAGTGTGTTTATTGACTTAAGTATAAAACAGTAGTTCACTGTTTTTCATCTGTCCTTGGACTTGCCTACTGGAAACAGTAGATAAACCATGGAGTCCATTATTACTTGTGGGCTCTAAAATTTATACAGGCAAGGTACTGGCTGGCATCATGGATAATAATAATAATGGCCAGTCTTCGCGAGCGAAGATTTGGGAAAGGTCATTGACCCTTCGAGCCTGCGCAGTGGATTTTGTAGGTGAGACTCAGTGTGCGCTGAACTGAGCCCACCCTTTAATCCTGAGGTTCATCTGCTGGGGCCAAGCAAGCTTGGACAGTGGCAGTGAGGGTCTCAGAACGTAGGTTTGTTTAGAGTGACCTTCTCTTAGATGGATTGCCACACAGGGCTAACGAGCTCCATCTGCCCGGGGGGCTGGGAATACTCTGGTGGTCTAGTGGTTAGGGTGCAGGACTCTCACCGCTGCGACCCAGGCATCATGGATAGTCCTCAGATATACAATGCTATTGATGTGATAGGCCTTAGCCTTGTGGTTTTGTTGTGTTTTTGAAATTATCTCAGTAATGGTCTGTGTGGTAAGAGTACTTAATAAAGATCTGAACTGTGCCGTGGATTCCCTTTTGACCTTAGAGTAATTTTTGGTTTACTCTGTATGGTGAAATGGGAGTGCTGATTGGTTTTCCTGCAGAACTTTCAATAGAAGACTGTTTTTCTGTTTGTTTTTTAACATAAAAATGGTTGATTAGCTACTTGCGTAGGACTTCTTAAGTACAGTTAGTTACCTGTTGTTACTGAGGCATCCTTTTTTTGGGCAGTGGTCAGTTTGTGCATATGTGGTGGTAGGGCCAGCCTGGTCTTCTATTTGTGAAAAATGAAATAGTTTACTTGGCATAACCTTGGCCACTGATTTGAGACTACAGACACAAGAATGCCACTTGGAATAAGTGATAAAACTGTCTAGTGTTTACTTTCTCAATATTTTACAAAATATGGGTAATTTATAAAGTTTTTGAAAATTTGCAGAAAACCTTTGCAAGTTATCATGTAATTTAAATGTCAGGAATATTCTTTTCTTGTCCAAATGCTGTTTGTTACTCTTCTACTCTTTTGACAAGCAATTTTAGAGTTACCTTGCAAAACATGTAAGCTTAACTAGTATGGACTAGTATTCATTTCACTGCTTCTCGCTTTCTTTTCCCTCAAGAGTCATCTTGCTTGATATCAGGACTAGATATGTATGAGATAAGTGTCCTCCCAGATTAAAACTGACCCAGTTTGTTGGAAGCTTTTATTTGAAGGTGGTTTTAACTGAAAGGGCTTAAACTTAAGTCATGAATATCCAAGTCATCTTGTGATACCAATTGTCATTATATTCCTGAATGCAGAATAAAACAAAATAATGAATAAAAATTAAATAAATCAGTAGCTATGACCTTTACAACAAATGCAATAATATTCTGTAGCAGTAATGTGTACCTATTTTCTGAATATCTCAAAGCAGTTTGTAAACAGTTAAAGAAATGCCTGCCTTTTGTGGGGAGAGTAGCAGAGATTCCTGCCTGGCAGGTGGGGGAAGAAACAGAAAGGTGAGAACTGACTTGTCTGATTCTATGAGAAGTCTTCAGCAAGTAATTTAGGGCAATATGTGGAGTTTTTTTAAGTTCATGTCTTTCTCAATTCTATTATATTACCGTGTGCTTTTTCTTTTTCTGGGGGAACCTAGTGTAATGATCCCTATTTTAATCAACTTCCATCATCTCTCAGTATTCTTATGAAGAAGTGGGCATTATTATGTGGTTGTTATTCCTGTGTTGCTGTGTATATCTGTTTAAAATTAAATGGTACTTTTATGTACTTTAATACATTATTTGTTAAATTTCATCTGTATTTAGGAAAAAAATTAAACGAGTAGTCTGGAGTGACTCAAATTTTAACCTGTTACAGAATCAGAATTTATTCAGGATTTTTATCTAGTTAATATGTTTTCATTTTTAATACAGTATTGAATTGCAATTATTCCTTGAGTCATCAAAAGAAATACAGTGTGCAAACCATTCTGTTAAGTGGTCATTTCAGGATGGTTTGCCAAATAAAATTCCTGCTCCAAAGCATTGCATGCTTAAAATATACGTACTTTCCTGGGTTGTAATAAACATACCAGAAAAATATAGTGAATAGTAATTATATGATAAGAGTTTCTCTAAGAAAGAGTATTCTGTACTTCATCAAAGAACATTTATAATTTAGTACTTCCCTGCTGCATTACTTAAAATTTCTGGCAGAGCACTGAGGTATTTTCATATCTTAAAGAAAATTCTCAGCTAAAATGAGAGAATGTCCTTATAGTGAGTCTTTCAGATTTGAAAGATTATGGTCGTGGCCATAAAATATAAAAATAGAAAAAATAAATCTGAATCAAATCAACAAATAGTCAGTTATATACTTCATATAGGGGATGATACCTCTGGGGCATTGGCTCTCAGTGTCATGGGAAAGCAGGAGTGGGGAGGAGTGATCTGCGGACCAGCTCTCTGGTGCTTTCGCTCATTTGACGTTTTTACTGCAGCTCATTTATTGTATTCTGTGGTCAGCTCTGAGATTGAAGGTGTTTGTGTAGGACACTGCAAACTTTCTATCCAGTATCAACCTTACATTTAGATCTTCTAATCAGAGGGTCTGTTCAAGACTACTGTAGTAGCAGGATAACTGACTTTTTTCTATAGTGTAATCTTGCTCTTTTGGGAGCTCTGACTTATTGTTAGTAAAATAACCTCTCAGATATTTGTGATTTGATTGAAAAATTGAAAAAAAAAAAGCAGATTAGTGTTAGCTACCTTAGACTATTTGCAAATATATTAAATTTTTAGAAGTATGTTAGGTGAAAACTATGACATGAGAAAAATCCAGTGTCTGTTGTAAAACTCAGGTTTTGCAGGTTTTTAAGAGACAAACTACTTGTGTATTTGCCACGCTTTAGGGATATGTAGGTTTTGAAAAGTATACTGGATGTTATTTTTTTTTTAGCAGAGGGGTTAGTGCTGGAGTCAGAATTTCGTCTTAATTGGATGTATAGCTAGCAAATAGAGCTGTAGGTTATATGTTGTTTGTACTGGTAAAAGGGTGAATTGGAGAGTAAAGGTGGCCAACAAACTCTGATACAGACTTAAAGCATCCTCTCAAGCCAGAAATCTGGTTTTTTATACAAATGATATATACTTTTACAGACTAGTATTGAAACTTAATAGATGTTCTAAAATAATCTGGAGGCAACAGATATTGCATAGTTTTGAGTTTATCAATAAACCCCCTCCAAATTACATAGCTTCTGAAGTTAGGTTTTTCTTTTGTAATTGCAATGAAACATAGTGTCCCCACCTTGTATTGATTGACAGAAGTCCTGTGATAAACTATTCTCCAAATTGGATTTGTGCTACCTGGCATTCTACAGACTTCTGCCCAGTATATAACCATGTGTTTTGTTGTTGTTTTTAGTTTCTTCAAGCAATGGATTCTCAAAACTTTCAACGATGAATTGAGAATACAGTCATTTAAATTGTGCATTATATTAATGTGGGAGCAGTTGAAGGCACTTTATGGTCAGCATTTACTGCTGACAAGCTAAAAGAATGACCTGAAATACATCTCTTAACATGTGGAAAGTGCTAGTTCAAATGCAATTCATTATTCAAATAAAAGTAAAATGAGATAGTTGACTTGCAGAATATGAACTGGTGATCTGTTGCAGATCATAAACAGAAGAGAATTTTTACTTACTGTAAGGGAAAACACCAAAGTTTTTTTTTTAAAGTATCTTATATGAAAACCAGTAAATCTTTAATCTTCCCTGCTGAGTACTATTGAGGCCTCAAGTGGAGCCATGTATCCAGTTTTGCATAGTGAGTCAAGATAGAGGTAACCAGTTGGAGAGTGTCAAGAGGAGATAAAAATGATTAGCTGTCAAGGAAGCATGAAAAAAGAAATGGGTGAGAATTGACATTCTTTGTTACAAGCATGTCTCTCTCTCTAGAATACTGAAAAAATGTTTTGTAAAGAACAGAATAATCTCTCTTTGAGGATGAATTGAAATAAGAGTCTAGAGAGGAGATCTAGACATGAGGAGAAAATACTGATTGTGAGAATAGTTGAGCTCTATAATAATTTGCATATGAAGGTCAAGGCATCCCTATTGTCAGAAGGTTTTAAGAACAGGTTAGGCAAGTATCAGAGGTTGGTTGATTCTTCGATCAGATGAATGGATTAATATTCTTGAGGTTCTTTCCAACTCTTTAATTATCTTGAAAATAATTGTAATAGAAGTGACTTGTGTAGGATATATGATTAATTAGTAAGAGTTGTAGCATTTATATTTGAGACAAGCAAAGATTATTTTTTTCCTTCAAAGCACCACATAATGTGTTTGTTGGATAAGGCCTGAGCAGAAAAGATGTACATGGCCTTGATGAGAGTGAGCTACCTCTTCTAAATTTAAGTACAAGAATTACACTTCCTAACACCTTGATTTCTTAAAATGTATTTGTTTTTATAGATGCTTTTGCCTTGCACAGTAAGTAAGTTAATGTTACCTTGAGTGCCTTTATTCACTGTGCATTGGTTTCTATGATCATTCTGGAAAAATGAAGACAAATCCAGTGATGTAAAACTGGAATAGAAAGACACTAGGTACTTTTGTGGTCGATGTCATAATGTCTTTTAAGTAAAAACTGCTTAAAAAAATTACTGCTTCTTAATTTATAACTATTAATTGTTATTAAATGTTATTTACATAGTTATTAGTGTCTGTATCAGGGGACCATACCTTCATTTCCTTTGTTTCTTCTCCTGGCTAAAGAGGCTTAACCTGGACTATGTTTTGTGTATAATATTATATGACATTAGCTTATAATGCTTCATTTGAATTTTTTTTTTGCCTCCCAGGTCTCTGTCTTGAGAAGTTGCCAATTTCTTCCTCAGCTAGCAATCTCCATGTGGACCGTGAACAAGAAATTGTTACATGCTACGAGAAGGCTGGAGATATTGCTCTCCTGTACCTTCAGGAGATAGAAAGGGTAAGCTGGGGTGGTTTTCTTAATTGAAGAATTGTGTGGCTCATCTTTCATTGATGTGATATTACCAACAACTTGGTAACTCAACAAAAACACGTCTGATATTTCTTTTCATAGGACTTCAATGCACACCTACAATTGGACAATAAATCAGTGTGCCTTAATGGCTGTCTGGTAGCTATCCTTCTGTTATCTCATTCTGACCTCTTCGAAGACAGTGCCAGTAGGTTAAAAAGGCACAGAGCTCTGAGTTACTGTGTATATTCAAGATGCTGATCTGAGGCCTCTTGTTACCCTGTGGTAGTTCATTCATGCACATGGGATTATGGTGTCTTTCAAACACACATGTTGGAATATGTGTATTGCATTTATATACTTACTAGATTTTCAGGTAATTCGTAAAAAGAATTTAATTCAAAATGAAGCTGTGAAGATTGAAATTTAGTCTTGTTGATGCTTATATGAAGCATAATTGCACCTAACTTCTCTTTTATAAACTACTTGAAGGTAAAATTCAGACCTAACATTGTACCTGTCAGCAGGTACAATGATGTATCAGTGTGGTATCCAGAACAGTAACTGACAGTGTTTGCTTCACCTAATAGGCACAATCCCCGGGCAATGGAAAAATTGTGATCTGATAGCCAGGTAAACATAGGATTTTGAAATGTAGATGAACTTCAGATAAGTCTTAATAGTTCTATAAATTGAGTCAGGACAGTGTTCTTGGATTTGATAGCACATTTGTCAGTTTATCTCAGTAATATATTCCTTACTGTACGTATGTATGGCACTACAGTTACTGTCAAAATCCAAAGTACTAGATATGTAGGAGACTTGGATTTCATTGATGAAAGCTGTTATATTTGAGCTTCTTAATGCTGTAGACAAGATATAACTTCTGGACAGTTCTGCAGAATATTAGGCAAGTTACTGCACCCTGTGGCAATGGATTTGCCATATGCAGGATGGAAAAAGTCCTGTCAGAGATGGACTAGTGAAGAAAAAGAAGAAAACAGCTCTAATGTTATAGAAACAGAAGTTTTTAATGTGGTTTAAACAGGTTTTAAAATGGCTTTTGCTTTTTGCAAAGTCATTGCCTCCCTCTTCCCGACACCCCCCTGTGAAGGGCTATTGTCTCCCATACAGAGTGTCCTGGGAAGGTGTCCTGAGGTGTTTCTCATTGGTCCTTTGTTAACCCCTTCCTGTTGGCTGTTGTCCCTTTACCTAATGGTTTTTTCTGTGTGACCCTGAACTTGTGATTGGTCCCCTTTGACCCTCCTAAAAGCCTTATAAACCCCAACCCCACAATAAACTTCCTCTTTCGTCCATCCCTCCCTGGTGGTCTGTGTGAGCTCCTTGCGGGGTCGCTGGGCCACGTGCTGGGGGAAGGGTATTCACCTCGCAGGTAATGGGGCCAGCAGCCTAAGGCCTGGAGGTCTCCCCCATCCCACTAATCCACCATAGCACCCTCCTTCCCTTTTACAAGTTATGGATTATGAATTATGGAAAGTTAAGCTTAGGCTCTTCATTTGGTGTTATTTTAAGTGTTTTTTTAGAGAAAAGAGAATTTGTGGTACCCTTTATTTCTAGTAGTTACACACTGCTGCTTTTTATTTAGGCTTAAAGATACCTTTGAAAAAAAGCAATACACTTGGGGCTCTGTTCTTTGTGTTGAGAATGCTGTTAGAATGAAGTGAGCTGGCAATATCCGTCTGACCCTCTTTTTCAGACCTATTGCTTATGAGCCTCGGGCCTGTCACTTGACAGCTGTCTTTGAAGGGGTTATAGGACACAGTTAGGATCATACAAACAAAAGAAATGGGAAAGAAAACTTTGATGTGATGGGGAGAACAGTAATTTGCACTGTTTTTAAAATAGATACAGGTTTGTATTTTCTAAGGGTTTTTGTTTTGTTATTGGCTTTTAGTATCTGGTAGACTGTACAGTGAATATGAAGGCAAACGAAAGCTGATAGCTCTCCATTTTGACAGCATTCTTAATGCTGATGTAATACAGTTAAGTTATTTCTAAATTGTTTTTTGGAAGTCACTCTGGAGATAACTTTTAATCTTATAGCTCTCTGCAGCAGTCTTTTTTAACCTGAGTTTTAAATTTTTGAATATCATCACCTCCTGTTAACTGAATAAGGTTGCAAATATGCTTTTTTATATTCTTCTCTTTTGTTTACCATTCTTCACAAAATTTTTTGAAAAACTATAATAAAATCTTGCTTAGCAGTATTTCTGCTTGGTGAATAAATTGACTTTAGGGGTATATCCAGGAATGAAAAGGGTGGCAGTGGAGGTAAGGATAGAAATAGTCCACTAGCCACTACCTACAGATGGCAAACATTTCTCCAACATTAAGTACTAGCTTTTGTGTAAAAGTACACAAAGCTTGATTTTTTTTTTCTAAATACATTTTTTCCCTTTTGTTTTATTAGGTAATTAATGCCAATATACAAAACAGAAGCCCTAAGCCAGGGCCCACTGCACATGAACAAGAACTTGGTTTTTTCATGGAAACAGGACTGCAAAGAGCACATGTTTTATATTTTAAGAATGGGTAAGATTTGATTCTTCTTTTATTGTGTTTGCTTTTTTTTTTAGGTTTTGTATTTGTGATTTACTGGACATCATTGTTTGTAGCAATTGTGGATTCTGTAATCATGAGGTCTCTTATTAATATAAGTAGTAACATTTTGATTGAAATAGTAAGGCTGTCTATATTGTATTTATTTACATATTGTAAAATTATTTAATCAAAATGTATTAAGCAGAAAGCATTTTATAGTTTAACTTACTAAATGTAAGAACTTAAAATACCTTATCTTTAACTATTTGAAATTTGTTATCGAACATTGTTAGAAAGTGATTGACAACATATTGAAACTCTTGATTTTTATAATTTTGATTTTATAATTTTTTTCCAAATCTCTTCAGTTATGACTTATTTTAACATTATGCTGCAGGATAAATGTACATGAAGATCAACAGTATGTATATGAGTATACAATCTCCATTGTATCTGCTCTATAGATCCCTTTAGAGTCTGCATGGGAATTCCTTTATAATTTATTTTAAATAAGGCTTTCCTTAAAAGCCTAAAAATAAATGCAGTTACCACACAAAATGAGAATCGGAGTACAACTCTCCATTTTTAATAACTTCAAAACTTGGCACAAATGGTTTTTAAGTACATTTCTGACATTTGTTGAAATTACATAGTTAAAAAATTTGTTTGTGGGACTTCTTATTCCATTAGGAAAATGTGGTTTGATTGAAATATTGGAACTCTTGGTAGGACTGTTTTGCACCAAAAATGTTTTTATTCTTTGAAATACATAAACCAGAGGGGAAGGAAATCAAGCAGTGTCTGTAAAGAGTTCGAGATTTTAATGTACTGATGGTACGTTGAAAAAAGACTATCCAAGTTTTCAAAGTGTTTTGGGGGGCTTTCAGCATGGAAATGAAGTAGTGCTGCAATAACACATGAGAGTTACACTTCAGTTCTGTTTTCATAATTTAATCGCAGGAGGAATGGAATGTTCTGAAAGCTAATTTTTTTCATTTACCAGAGCTAAAAATAAGATCTCTGTTTTCATGCCTGCACAAAAAATAAATAAAATACATGTATTGAAAAAATCCCTCTGGCAGTCACGGTTAAGAATAAGCTAAAACTTCCACAGTTTGAAGAATTTTGATGGAAGGCCAGGAATGGAAATGGTGCATTTAATCTGACATGTTGTGCATAAAAGCAATCAGCAACAGACATAGCAGATTGCTATTAATGAGGAAAACAAAAATTAACTGCACAAAAAAAGTCATGCAGTGGGTTGCTAAGGAACATCCAGCCCATAGGAGTGTTTTTCCTAGACCATAATCAGTTGGTCTGGTGTGAACTTTGAAAGGTGATTGTAAAGGTGATGTGCATTTTAATCTTTCACAGTGAAGCTGCTAAATCTTGTTAGCTCCTACATAAACATATAGTCTTTTTTGCAGTCTTTAGTACAGTGATTCCTTGCAGTTTATAAGCTAATTACACATTATATATAAAATTTTTAATTCTTCTTCCAGTTTCATTGACCAGTGGTACGTTTTTTGTGGTATGAGAGGAGCAATGTGTAAGGAAAAATACCTCTGTGACAATCATTATTTTACATATTCCTGCCATTACATCCTTTAGTTTCCTTCTTTAATTCAGAGGCAATCACAATTCTTTCAATATTTCCTAATATGGTCATTGTTCCAGGCTGCTTATTATGTTGCTTTTAGGGATCCCTTTTTTATTTTTTTAGTTTTAAACTTGGGTTTACCAGAACTGAAGAGAACTTTAAATAGATTTTTGCTGATAAGGACAAATTTAATTTATAGCCTGCTTTTTAATACATCTATTTTAAGGATTTTTTTTTTGTTTTTAAATGTGTTATCCCTCCTGATATGTTAGGTTTGTAGAAAGTAGATTTGAGATCTTCCCATTAAGCTTTGCAATGCACTTCAATTTTGATCTAAAATTGTAAAGATTATATAAACATTTTCAAGGAGAGGAAAGGTAGACATCTTTAATATAGGTAGTTTAGAAATGGAAGCGTTTCTTTTAAGTAAACTGATTTTTGCAATTGAAACTGGAGATGTTGAAAGGGCAGGAGGAGACAGGGAGCCACTAGAATTCTGACTGCTTATGAATGTTAAGAGAGAAGAAGAAAATTGTGCCAGTCTGTTTCTATGGACAGACTGAACTGCTGTTTGTATTGCAGTGCAGTGGAATCTCTGATTTGTGTATGTTTGTGAAGGGAACCTGACAGGATCTGAGTCTGAAGTTAAATCTCCTGTCACCAAACTATAACCTGGCATTGGTGTGAGTCAGTTCAGATGTTACCCTGTTACCAGCACAGTGGCTGTAGTACTTCAATCATTGGAGCATGATGAAGGATCTGAGCAGATGTTTACAGATCTTTTGCTGGTTTTTTGGACTTCGGTTCCACTCCAATGAGTGCTAATAAATCTCTCAAAATCTGCTGGAGGATTTAATTTGTCTGAAATCCTTTTGTTGTGGGGTGGGTTTTTGGTTTTGTTGCGTGTCTAGCAGTCAGTTGGCTAATCAACTCTTTTAATTACATTTCTTCCACTAGACATGAAATCATCATTTTTGTGTGGGTATGTCAGTCACACAGAAGAAAAGAAAACAAGATAACTTTTATTCCTATCTGGAAGACCATAATTTCAGTAACATAGGGAGTACTGCTGCCTGCCAAGAAAGCTGATTGAACCACTTCAAATTTCCCCTTTGTTTGCTAACTGTACAGAGATTTTATTTTAAGTCAAGTAATCAAGCTTTTTAGATATTAAATGATTATCTTTCAGGTATGCGTTATCTTGTATGAAAAACTAGGAAGTGTTTGAAACTTAACTTAGCCTTACTGCTAAGTGGTGGTATTTTGAAAATACATGGAAATGCAATTAGTTAAAAAAAAAAAAAAAGAAGTGGAATTATTCTGAAGCACAAGAGTGTTATTTTAGTGCTCTGTTAGAACACAAAACTGAAATTAATGGTTTCTTCTGAAGTGTACAGAATTTTATTAAGAATCAAACTACATACTCATTTTTCACTTGAGAGATGAGGAACATTTCAACTTGCAAATGAGAAACAAAGAAGTTCTGGAAGCTGTTCTAAAACTTAAAGTAGGGTTTATGTGTTTTTTTAAAAAAATTTTGAAATATATAAATTTACATGTCTTTCAGGCTGATTACGTGACTTGTCTAGTAATTGCTTTGTAATTTCATATTGAAGGAGCTCAAAGTCGTGATGTTTTCCTCAGAAAACCTATGAGCACAGGAACTTTGACATTAGCATTTAACATAGCTATTTTCAAGGACAATGCCCCTGAGGAAGAAAGGGCAGCTGTTTACGTACCCAGTGATTCCTCTATCCTAGTATTTGTTTTGTATTCATGTTATGAGATTTTAAGTTTCTCTTGTTTATGGTTTTTATTTTTGAGGTAGTAATAGTCACAAATGTACTGGAATTATATGCTCCTAAAGCAAAATTGCATTCTGTTTGAATTCTAAAATCAGATGTCTGCTTTGTGAAAACTAGACTTTCCTGGCTCTCAGAGGTATTTTTCGTGGCTTCTCCTTTATTTCACACCCCCTCCAAGGATATTGCTCTGTCAGAGTCAGGATCCAGACTGCAATTTGGTCTAGTCTCCATATACTTCACATGCTGAATCGAAGGCTGGGGAACCCGGAGCAGATCTGTACTCTTCATGGTGCTGTTAAACTGTGCTGGCACAGCTGCAGTGAAGGAAGACCTTCCCAGCCTTCTCCAGGAAGTTGTTTGTCATAGATGGGCTTTTTCTCAATAGAAAATTAACCCAGGAAAAAAAATCAAAAAATTAACCAATTTTTCTTCATATAATTGCTGTAATTGATTTGTATTGACTTACAAAATGTTTGACAAGCACAACAAAAAGCCCTCCTTAGAGTTTAAGACTCGTCTATGTAGAATTTCTTTTATCTGTTTTTCTTTTTTCACTTTAGCATATAATAGAAATAGCATAGGAATATAGCTCTCATGCTAGTAAGTGAAGAACACTGGATGGAAGGCAATCCAAAAATCCATATATTCCTATACAGTGCTCACAGCCAGGGATTTTACAGTGAAGAAATCCATAAGAGAAGGGTTTATGTAAATGCTTGACATAAATGCACATCAAGACACTGTATGATCAGCTCTCTACTGTATTAGAATACAGTGCTAGCTACCCATCATTCTCTGAATCTCTTGAGATCTTGTTGTATATCCTACATCAGTCTCAAAACAAGTTGGTGATTAAGTAAAGAATAGAAAGTAAGATTAAATTCAAAAACATTGAAATCCCATGAAGTATCACATTCCTTACATATGAGATATCACTGCTGTATTGGAAAACAAACAAAACCACTTCCGTTGCAGTTTTCAAAACAGGTTTATTCTGGATGTACCTGCTTTCGTGTTTGTGTGGTGGTGTCAAGAGAAACAGTAAACAAAATGGTTAGTGTCCAGACATTGTAAAGTGGAATTACCTGTTCTCATCTTCTCCATACCTACACTCCTAACATGAATTTTTCTTGTTTGCCTTTTGCTGGTTCAGGTACTTGTTTGGTTCTTCTGTGGAGTCTTTTCATTCTCCAAACCAGCAGAAACCAAAGAGCAAAGAGATCATAGCGTTCTGTCATACTAGTGAGAAGAATTGATTCACTGCAAGGTGTGATAATGGCTGGTGTGGCTGTCAGAAAACAGATAGGACCATGCAAGTGAGAGTAGGAAGATATCAAGAAGGAAGAATGGTGGAAAAAGAGAACACCAAGAGATGAGAATGGGGAGGATGAGATCTTCCTCTTTAGGCAGTGAACCATTAAGTCTACTAAGTACAAGTGAAACTGCAGTCTAGGCAGTGTGTGTTTTCATTTTGAATGCATGAATGCAAGAATTGCTGCTTGATTGGACTGTTTCAAGTACTTAGGCTTGTGTAGCTCTAATGGCACACTGAAGATGTTTCATTTATAAGCCCAAACGTCAACTGA